ACGTAATAAAATGTGGGATGATTATTTTAATGATTCTATAGCATGTTACGTAGAAAGAGATGTGTTTAGACGCATCGATAATGAGGTTATTAACCAACATTTTCAGAACATGAGGACCCGTAGGTTGGATTTAATTAGCATCATTACATTAACACTTTTGATTATATTTGTTATGTTTTATTAGTGTAATTTGTTAAGACAATGTTATTATTAATGTGATGAATTACATCATTTGAGTGCCCCTGCTTAAAATATTTTCTAATTCCGCCACTGGCCAGTGCCATTGTGGCAGTTATGGTTTCAGAAAAACACCCGTTGAATAATGGAGCGGTTACGGTGCAGAGAAATAAACTAACACAACGCGTATAGTTATATACTTTAACTAGTACTTTTACCCGTGCCGTGCACGGGATAAAATACTGTTTTATAATTTAAGTTTTATTGTAGAATATAAAGAAAAATATTTGCTGGTGCCCATGTCGCTCCATGATATCTAAAGAGTGGATTACTGAATAAAGATATAGGGGATGTTTGGATCTGATTCTCAAAACTGATTCTTCTCCTTCAGGGAGCAGAAGCAGAAGCTGGAGTGTTTGGGTGAAATTCCAGAAGCACTTTTGGAGCTCTAATTACTCTCAGAATCAGTTTTTTTTAAGTTGGGAGGTACCAGCTTCTGAAAACTGATTCTGATTCTGCTTCTACTTTTAAAAAAGAAGCAGAAGCAGAATCAGTTCCAAACACCCCCATAGACATGCATCACAACTTAATCTAAATTGGCACCAGACCATCTTTTCAGTCCTCATATTTTCATCGAGTGAACACCAACATTATCTTTTCAATCCTCAATGTGAACTTTCGGTTATTTTAAAAACAGGCTTCATAAACTCAATGAGGATATTGTGTACATTTGTATCTAATGTTGTCACTTTTATATTTTACTCTCAAATTGTTTACATTTTTGTCCCCGTATAAATTTCATTTTGTTTATTGTATTTGGTAAGTGGAAACCGAGATTTGCGGACTTGCCCCATTTATTTTGGTGATTTATCTTATGGATTTATAGAGTTTTGTAGCTTTTATATTTTAATAGTGGTGACGATGATACGATGATAGTAGGTTGCGTGGCAACAATTAGTGAGTCTCTAGGCAACGACAATGACATTAGTTTTTTTTAATTGAAAGGCAATGGCATTAGTTTATCTATTTTTGAACTTATACAAATCTTATATTATTAAATTACTTTTTAAATTTATATGAATTTTTATAAGATTAATTTGTTTTTTTAAATAACCTGTTATAGCAAGTTAAAATGAATTAATTGGTGGTACATGTAAAGTAAACATATTTATATGAGACTTGTTTTTAAAATACGGACTCAAGTGATATATTCGATATAGTAGAATGATGTATTTGAGTTTTTTGTCTTTTTGCTTTGATCGTCGTTAGGGATGTTTTAGGCACAAAACTTAAGGCACGTTGGTTTGCACAAACCTCAAATAAAATGTTTTTATTTCTTTATTTATGTGTCTCTCTTTTTGAATAATTGCTTAATAATATTCTGTATTCCAAATTTATCAAATGAGAGTTTTTCAAAATTGAAAATGCTAAAGACAATATGTCAAATAAAAACTTTCAGAATATTTTACATTAGAGAGTATGGTTTTAATCATTTTTTAAAACTATCCGATACATTCATACACATATGAATTTTATTTGAATGCAGTTTTAGAGAAAAGGACAACGTTTAATAATCTCTATTTTCAACTTATTAGTTTTAGCAACCAACTTTTTAATAAGCCCGTAAATTTTTATTCTTCTCGCTGATTTGTATCATAATAGAAATAAGTAAAGTTGAACTCATTTTTCTAACTGATTTGGCTTAAGTTACTCAAAAGAGAACACACACCAAACAGTAGCAAATAAGTTCAACTTTAGTTATTCCGATTATTACATAATATTCAATTCCTGATTATATTTAATTTAAAAATATTTATCTATTTTTGGACTTATACTAATCTTAGCTTATATTATTAAATTACTTTTTAAATGAATTTTTATAAGATTAATCTATTATATTGTTATAATTATTTGTCCAAATAACTTGTCATGGCAAGTTAAAATGACTTAATTGGTGGTACATTTAAAGTAAACATATCTATATGAGAATTGTTTTTAATATACGGATACAAATGATGAATTCGAATTAGTAGAATGATCTATTTTAAATTTGTGTCTTTTTGGTTTGATGATCGCTAGGGAAGTTTTAGGCACAAAATTTAAGGCACATTGATTTGCACGAACCTCAAATACAATGTTTTTATTTCTTCATTTATGTGTCCCTCTTCTTTAATAGTTACTTAATAATATTCTTATTGTATTCCAAGTTTTCCAAATGAGAGTTTTTCAAAATTGAAAGTGCTAAAGACAATATGTCAAATGAAAACTTTTAGAATATTTTACATTCCAAAGAGAGTATGCTTTTAATCATTTTTAAAACTATCAGATACACTCATACGCGTATGAATTCTATTTGAATGTAATTCTAGAAAAAAATAAGAGCTTGTTTCATTATCTCTATTTTCAACTTATTAGTCTTATAAATCAACTTTTAAATAAGCACACAAATTTTTATTATGCACGCTGAATTGTGTCATATACAAAATAAGTAAATTTGAACTTATTTTTCTAACCGATTTGGCTACAGTTATTCCAGAAGACAATTCGAGTGCAATTCTAGAAAAAGTTAAGAGATCCGTTTGACAACTTCTATTTCTAGATGCTTATCAATCTTATCAGCCAACTTTTTTTGTAACACGTAACTTTTGATTCTTTACACTGAAATATTGAATTGTATAATAATCAAATAAGTGCAGTTAGATTTACTTTTCCGGTTGAATTAATTAAAGTTATTGTAGAAGGTCATTATAGATATTGTTATATAATTTTTCTTTAATCTATTCGTAAAATTTATGAAGAGTATGTATTCATGAAGTTGTTTTGAGTCCAATTGATTTACTCTAGCCAATTGATTTATTCTAGCCAATTAGAATAGAAGTCTTAGTTATACTTTTAACGTGCAGGTCATTCAAGGATTATTGTAATCTAACATATATAGACTTCTAAAGTTTAGGAATTTCATTCTCCGAAGATTTTTAAGAGCTCTAAAATTTAGCAATTTTTAGTTGACGTCAAGAAGAATATATAGCGATGATTCTAAATTAGAAAAATGATCTAGAATATTAGAATCTTCTAAAAGGCGCTAGGCGTTAGTCGGGCGCCAGCCCAGCACCTAGCGTCTAGACGGCTAAGCGGGTGCTAAATGACACTTTTTAATTGTGAAAACCAACCAACAAATAAATGCTAGTTTTGAGATTGAAGGAGTGCTCACTAAAAATCTAGCATTACTATAGACTCCTCGAAAACGTTATCTAGTACATTAAAATTTGAAGCACTTTTACTACTTATGCAATGTAGTTACGAAAGGTTACACTTTTCGTAAGGGAAAAGTTACGAATTTCACTATGTCAATGCCTTCTAGAACTCCTATTGTCGAGATGGTTAGAGAAAAATAGGGAATATTGTAAACGGTACTCGAATGTTATTTGCGCTAAAACAACAACTAAAGTTAACAAATTTAATAGGTTTGAAGTCTTTAAAAATTACTCTCTCTATCCATCAAAACTTTTCCAAGTTGACCGGTATGGATCAATAACGTAAAAACATGTTAATTGAGATTTATGAAGAGGGGAAAGAAATAATAAGAACCATAAAATTAATTTTACTAATTTGTGCAGTTTAGGATTTTGTTTTTACCATGCACATTATTAATTCAAAATGATAGCTTAGAATAAAACATCATTTTATTAAGTTGGGGGTCCCAAATATATAGCTTTTACTTCCTTCCGATTTGCTAGAGTTCTTTATGTTTTCTGATTTTTATGAAAGTTTTAATGGAATTGTTTTGTTGATCGAGTTTGTATTTTTGGTTTTAAATAAATGTTTTAGAACTTATTATTTCTTTGTTCACACTTTCTATCAATAAATAAAATATATATCCCCTAATCTAATCGTAGCATGAAACTACGCTATACAATCATGAGATCTTAAAAAACTGAGCTTAAAAACCTCCACCTATCATATATTTAAAATTCTTTTTTTTTACATATGACATATTGATGTCATATGAAAGATAATAAAAAATCATAACTTTTGATATATTTTTTTATAAAAATCAAATTACAAATGAAAAAATTAATTCAATTTTAAAATTAGAGAGATTTTTATTGTTGGGGTCCAATGAAAATTAGTTGTGTGCTTGCGAAAATCTCCAACATGCGTAGAACGGAGTATTAGCTTGGCATTATAATTAATCAATATACTAAATTTGCTTAGAAGATGACACATGGCAACACTTTCCATAAATGTATCTTTGAAATGTATCTATAGATAGATATATAACTAAATAAACTAACACAACGTGTATAGTTATATACTTATATGTATAACTGTCCTCAACGGCTCAACCCACGTCATTGTCATCTCTATATAGTACACTCCTTTTTAAATTTATTGCCTAGTCCCATCCCGAAATCCGGCCCGACCCGGTACTGTTTAGGCCCCAGTCCGACCCGATCCCGGTAAAAACTCTTGCCAGTACCAGGCCCTGAGCCCGGTCCCAATCCACCCTACCTATCTGTCCATCTAGGCTACTTGATCCGGTTAACTTGTATACAATTAATGCTAAAAGTTAAAAACTTTCTATAAGAAGCTATTTAGTGCAGCTTTCGAAACATACCATTAAATTTAAGATCTTTCATGGTCTTTGTAAATAGTAAAATGGCTAGAATGTAGCTTTTATCAAAGCTAGCCCTTACTAAAAACTTGAAAAGATCTTCTCCACTAGTTGTTCCAAACGTACACGGACTGCACAAACGTGGACATCATTAAGAGTTGTATTACGAGCAACTATTGACCCTGTTGGATAAAATTCTTGAAATGTCACGTTTAAGGAATAGGCGGCGATGAACAATACAAAAAAAAAATCTTTTGGCCAGAAAATATAATATAAATTCATCAACAACAAACATAAACCACCAAATTGAAATGTAAAAACAGAGAAATTTCAGATATAATGATGATATGGATTATGTAAACGAAAACAAGAGGCAATACAAACAAATCAAGCGACAGCCCGAGGAGCTCAGGGTGATAGATAACACTAGTTTGCCAATGAACGGGACTGCAGATGGTGGTGCATGAAATGCACTGCAAAAAAACACATAAGTTGTAAGACTAGTGTGATTAACCTAAAAAACAGATCTCATACTCATTTGCATTTCTCAGGTAAAAACACAAAAAGTAAGAAGACAACTTTTTCTAGCATTTACCCCCCCCCCCCCCCCGGCATTTGCCAGGATCCAAATTTGCTGCTCAAACCTAATATGATGAATAACCACCACACCATCCCACTACCTAGTTTGAAAACTGCCTAAAACATTGAAAATAAACCAGAAGACGAGACATCCCATATCCAAGAAAACATGCATTGCCTGTTAATAACTAGTGGTCATAGGAACATTAACAGTATCAAGTAGGAGAGTTTGATTGTAACTTGTAAGCCACGAGAGAGACATAGAAAGATAAATATCTTCTAGATAATTACAATTGGAATAATAGAACAGTCCATTTATTAGAAATCTCGGACAAATTACTTGTCTATTATGCTGTCAAGGTTTGGTTTTGGTATTGATTGAACCAACATTTCCCTCCTGATCAAAAGGGATTTTCACATTCTTTAAGCATTTAAAGACTCATTAATATATAAAAATAGTCTTAGTTCTTCATAAAATACATATCCCAAAACGTTCACACTCAAATACATTACACTTGTTATAGGTACAAAAATCGACTACATAAAAAGTAAGAACTTGCATGTTTATACTCAAAGAGTATGTTTGCCTAAAGAGGCAAACAAGCTGGTGTGCTGCCCACCACAATAGCAACAATAATATCACGATCCTTAAATCGGATTTGACTTAAAGATTAAAAAGTGGCACGTAATTGGATTTAATATCCTTTATATCATTAAACTATACACACAAAATGAGTTTGGACTCGTATCTAATTTTGATTTGTTTTAGTTACAGCCAATCTTTTTATTTCCCACAAATTTCTTTCCCCTACAGACAAGACACCCCCCACATGCAAAAATTAATCGTATACTATGCTACCGTGATAGGAGAAATAATGAATCATGAATGCTACAACTTAAATGGCTAGAGTCTACATGTAATCTAATCTTAAGCTAATAACAAAACCCAGGATATAATTTAACCGAAAATATAAACCATATCAATATAGTACATTTGCAATGGAGCCAAAGACTCATTACTTTTTGGTTTTGGAATATGATGGAATAAAGTAAAATGGCTCACTAAACTGTCTGCGTTTCTTTGTTATGAAGCAGCAGTCGATTCATGCAATTTTTGACGCGATTTTCCACTATGGGTCATCCGGAAACATACTCTTTGTGGTTCAGTACAGGGGCAAGACTCCATACATCCGACCCCCTTACCCCACTGTAGGTGGGAGCCTTTGCGGCGTTGGGGTAATGATGATGATGATGATCAATACACTACATTTCATTTTCATTACAAGTCACTCTTGATGAGTATGATACTTTATTATGTCTCTCTGATGACAAAACCATTACATGATCACATCCTCCAACTAAAGATTGAAGCCATGGGTAGGATAAAAAATGAGTGACAGAACACATTGAGAATACACGAGATCATCTGACTTGTCCCAAGAAGTAAAAATCTTAAGGAGGGGTTTCTGTCTTGCACAATGCTAACTGCTAAGTAGAGGAAAGTCATTTCTCTTTTACTATGAGAAAATAGAAAAGAGAATGGAATATTCTTAAAATGGTTTTATTTACATTCAGATTTTTTATTCTTTATGTGGAACATAATCAAAATAAATATATAGAACATATTTGAACATATGTCTAAAATACATTTGTTGGGTTTAAACTAATCTTAATGTTCCCTCAAATTTATTTCTGTTTAGCTTTCTTCTAATTTTAACTCCTGGTGTTCTTTTCATATAATTTTCCTAATTCCATACGGACCCCAAAAGAGTTAATGCAACATACACCACACAATCAGTATATGGGAAAAAACAAACTGCTTAGCATGTAGACCTACGCCATAAGGCAGCGCCTAAAATCTAAACAAATCAATCTGAATTATAACTCACAATGAAATTTCTTGTTTGAATTTCCCAAGATCAGGCATTGCTGCTCTCATTTAGCTTCGACAGCATTATCATCAGAATCTGAATCACTAATGTTATATCCTATAAAGAAACACAAGTTACCAAACACATTAGCAATCAGAAAGCCTCTTAAAGCAAGTCAAGTCAGCAAAAAAATTGAAAGAACCTGGGCGTTTATCACTGACTTTCCATGCTGAAGAACGCGTTCTTGATGCCCGGCTTATCCATGCTCTTCCCTGCACCCAAAACAAAGAGTTGAACAATCTGATTGTTGTTTTAGAATAGAGAGAGAATCATATGAACGTCAAGTGTCAAGACTGCTTCCAAGTACAACCCAACCTGAAAATTACTACTTACATCATCCTTATACTCAAGTTCAACTCAAGAGTTACTACTTTATAGTTTTATTTAACATTTCTGATGTAAGATCATTCATGCGGTGATAACCATTAAATTTTAAAAGAATCAGCTATTCAATTGAAGAAACATTAAATTCCCAAAAAATTCAACACAAATCCAAAAATTCAGCAAAGAACGTAACTATCAAATGAAAAAAAATTCAGAATTTCAGATGTAGACGAAACCAACAGCACATGTACAGTTAGTGTGGGAGAAAGAACCAAACACCTTCTCGGCATCTACGGGTACGCCATACCCACTACAGTACATCTGACCCACAAGGACCTGCATGGAGATATCGCCGGACTTGGCCTCCTTGAGGGTGTCCTGGAACCACCGTCTAACGCAGTCAGTCACCACGTCGGCCAGCGGTACCCGGCGGTGCTCCGACGAGGAAGTGGAAACAGCACTCTCCTCCATCTTATACCTCCCCAGCCGCCGCTCCGAAGATGATGCTTCTATGACTCTGATCTGCCCCTTGAGCTTTGGTTCCCCGGCGGGCGGCAGTGGGCGGGGTTTATACCCGGGTTTGGCCTGGGCGGCGCGGCGGCGGGGGAAGCTGTCTGAGCCGATAAAATTCGCAAAAGTTTTGAGCTTTGTTGGATGTGGAAGTGATTTCCCCATAAACCCAAGAAAGAAAAGCAAAAAATGTTCCGTATAAATGACAAATCTTTGAATTTGCGCAAAGAAATTGATCGGAAGAAGGGTAAAGTTGAAAATACAATTTTTGTTCTGCTTTTTTATTTGATCCGAATTTCGCAGTTTGCACTCTGCTGAGTGCTGAGTAATCCCATCCAACCTGCTCAAACGACCGATTTATATGCGATTACTTGATCCGGTTATGGAATCTAGTTGCTTTGAGATGTTTATGTTTGGACTAATTTGAATTTAGAGACTTATCTGATACAAACAATACAAATTACAAAAGAATAGACTGTTCAAAAAAAAAAGAATAGACTTATATAGATCAAATTTAGAAAATAAAAAATCACACCATATTACAAATTCAATCTAAGTGAAAATATTCTCAAACTATTGTTTGAAAAATAGGACCAATTTAATATAATCTCGTTTTAGAAAAAACGAAACCAATTCTAGGGGCGTTTGGTAGGATGTAAAATAATTACTTTGCATGCCAAGTATAAGGACGTAAAATGTTTACACTGTTTGATTTGATTATTTAATGGTAACTGTAGGACACTTTTTTAAACATTTCGCACTGTACCATGTAAAGTATTTACGTAGGGGAAGGGTGCTAAAATACTTTGCATGCCTTTTATGAAGCACTGCACCGGCTTTGTATGCATTTTAAAAATAAATTACACATCTAACCATACAATGTAATCTATTTTACATGTCTTTTATGATTCTCTGTACTTTGCGTGCAATCATTTCGCGTGAAAAGATTTAACTTGTAAACTACCAAACGAGACCCTAGGGTAAAACCATGAAACGAGTCTTATACTCTTGTCTATGACTCTATAAGCAAAAAATATGAAAAAACTAAATCCAATCTGGTTTTAAAATACAATGTTGAAAAAAGATAAACTACAACTAGTTTATTATATTGAGCATGAAATGAAAATACAGCATCAACACTTCAATTTTATACAAGATTTTAGAATTATCAACAGTAATTAATTTAACATACAAAGTATAAAATGAAAACAATTGCTTTTCAAATGCTTCATTTGTAATCTATATACTATATTAAATACTTCATCCTTCCCACTAAGATTGTCTTATTTTACTTTTTTTATTCATCCCACTAAGATTGTCTCATACCAAATTTGGTAAAGTTTATGTGGCTATAAATCATTCTCACTTTATCAATTAAATATCAACCACATAAACAACTTTTTATTAATTTACGTGACACTATCTCTTGTCTCATTGTTAGTGGGACGGAGGAAATAGTATATAACTGTCCGATCGGTGTTGGGGGCCCTCAGGAAAGGGTGTCATCTTTTTTTTTTATATATATACTACTCCGTATATTAAATAGGAGTAAAAATGAGATGTTTCCCTTTTGTGATTGCTTTCATCCTAGGACGTATTGGGGTGTTTGGAGAATGATATTTCAACCAAAACAATGACGAGTTGATCTCTTTTGACGTTTCCAATAAGTGAAAGAATTTGTTTGGTAAATAATTGTTCGGCCCAAGAGTTTCTTTGACAGAAGCGCTCAAATGAAAACACTACAAATAGGAGAGTTTCGAGTTAGCGTTTTGAAATATGACGTTTTTCACTAATTGTTATGGTTAAGCAACTAAATTACAAAACATCTTATAGCAACTCACCAACTTATTCTGGTAGTCAAACTCGCTGACTGAATCAACTTATTTTGTTATCATTAACCGCTAACCACGGAATGTCAAACATACCCATTGTCATGCCATCCCACACAATACTTCACTCCTATTTAAGGAAAAAAAAAATACTCATTTTAAAATCACTATTTTTGTTCATTATTGGGAAATTACCCATTCTGGATTTCTGGTTACCAACTGGCCTCAAAGCTAACATGTATTACAGTAATTTGGCATTAAATAAACTCGTAATAATTTTGTAACCGATGCTTATAAAGACATTATCTTTAAATGTAGAAAATGAAAGAAACAGAGAATGGTGAACCAAATAACACTGCAAGTCTGAAATCCCTTTGCGATCCAACAAAGTAACATCTCCCACACACAAATCTCATATCATACCTTTACACTTTGTATAACAAACCTACACGTGAGAAGAGATATTTATACGAAGTACATAATAACAAAACATACAAAACGAAAAAGAAGATTACTACGAAAGTATGAATACAAAAAGGCTAATATACATACATATCAGTTCTCACACTCGAAGAAAACTCCCTACTTAACCCCGCCTAGACTTCTGGTGTCGGACGAATCTCCCGAAAATCCAAGTGTAACCTCAAAATGATTGCATTATACATCTTCTCTTTGTATGACTTCAGGAGCAGGCGGTGTCATAGGATTATTCTTACCTCCCACATTAGATGCATCTGTGGGAATACCAATATGATTAGGAAATGGAAATGGAATAATAAATGACTACTTAATATTTCTTCTTGTTCACAAAAAGAAGTCCCATTGAAAGAAACCAATTAATGAAATATCATACAGAGAAAAAAAATACAATATTACCCATAATGATGTATAAAAAAAGGCAGCAATTACATATGCCTACTTAGGACCTTTTAATTCCTAAAGATGGGCAAAATATATATAAAAAAACAAGCATTAGATATTGTCTTGATTTTTTTAAAACTGATACACATTGTGAAAAACTCTCCAAAAAGACACTCGCGCTTAGGGGTAGACCCGGTCCCAGAACCAGACCAGGACCAGGTCCTTTGGTGAGACGGAAAGATTCTCGACTGGTAATGAAAACGGGACCAAACCAGGTCCAGTTTTATTGGTTCTTGACTTCTGGTTTATCATAAGTTATAAATAGGGTAAGAAACTTATCCGAGAACCGGAACTGAACTAGATACCCATTTACGGTTCTAGTTCCAATCAGAATAATACACATGTATGTGTATTAGTTATGGCTAATGAATTAATGACAAAATATTTATAATAAATGTTATATGAGTTTTAAAAGTGAGAAAGTGAGTAAATAGAACACACGCATATATATATGTATAATATATATATATATATATATATATATATATATAATTAATTGCATTATAATCACAAAGCAGTGTTTTTCAATAATTTATCTAACTGACTTTCCGAATGAATTTTATGTTGAAATTTTGTGGACATAATATACAATTGATGAAGACCATGCTCACAAAAATTTATCAGAAAATTCCACCGAGAAGCACTTCAAACAAGCTTGGCTGTACGGCACTCACGGAGTCCGGACTGATGAGATGAATTCTCAATATTTATATATATCTATAAAGGCGATTAAAGAATATGCAATTAAGATAAATAAATTCATATGGGGGCACCCGTGGGAACAATGGGGTGGCTCGACAGGGCAGGGACGGGGCGGGTCTAGGATTAACGGGGATGGGGTGGGGATGGAAGGAACTTTTTAGACATGGGGCAGGGATGGGGGAGTGAACCCCGCTCCGAACCCGCCCCGTTGCCATCCCTACTTCTATCCTAAAATGTAAGATACATTCTAGTTTGACACAAGTTTAAAAAAGAAACAGTTGTTATTTTACTGTCTTAACATTCTAAAAAAAAGTAAGATCATTCTGTTTTATTTACCATTCTGATAAAGAAAGAGGAAAATATGAAGTGAGATAAAGTTGGGAAAATGATCACAATTTTTTGACATATCAACCACAAGTGTTTCTTACAAAAAGAGACAGGCGATATATGTGTGTGATATTCTGTATACTGGAAAACATGTGTTTACCTGGGCTGTCACGCTCTAATGAGAATCTGCTTGGGCTTGGCGTGGTACTCATCATCGGTTGGACATGAACGGGCCCGTGTGGCGTGGAAGAACTTGGACTCGACTTAAACACCCCATCTTCTCGGGGCAAAGGAGAAATAGGACCATTATCAGGTTGTTTCCTGTAGAACTTATCCTCCACGATATCATATGAATTCCCAGTCCTAACCTCCTGAGCTAAAGAGCACCAACAACAGAACATCCACAGTGCACAATCAGCCACAGACGATTTACATTTTCCACACGGGAAATTATAAGCCGGCAAATTGTATCTCCTCCTCATTTGAATCCTCCAAAACCCCCCGTACAGCAAACCAAACAAACATAGGAATATGCTCGTCACTCCCAGTGCCCCTCTGACCGAGTCATTATCAATGTTAACGGCAGCTAGATTGAAGATCCAAAATGGGGCCATACAGAACAAAAGAAACGTTGCAATGTGTACGTACATGTTCCCTAAGCCTAGCCTTTCCATATTCCATCCAAACACACAGAAAGTACAGAACAACGAGAGGTACGCCGTAGAAATGTCATTCCAGAAATCCAAAATACCCCCACTCCACTGTGGGGTAGTCTCTACATCCCTCCCATCGCCCGACGCAAAAGAGAACCTTTTCTCCAAAGACTCTTTCCTTAATTTCCCCTTCGGTTGGAGTTGAGCTTCTTCATCCATCTCAGGTGTCTGACCATGAGTGTAGTCTTTCCCAAGTGGACTAAGCATGGAGTAAATCCCGGCAATTGCGGGTGCGCCAATGGCAATAGAGATACACAAGCCCACGCCCACAGCAGGCCGTTGAGATCTCTTGTAACCCAAGTTAAGCCCACAAAGAGCGTATTGGGCAAAACAGTTGAGATTAAGTAACAAAACGACAACCATCATGTGGGTCCATTCGTTGGGCTTGTAGGTCCCGTCCTTGCAATACGCCTTTCGGAGCCTGGAGACATCCTCAGGCCTCCACCGTACCAAAAGCACAAAGTGGTACAACCGCTTCGGGTGCGCATAGAGACACATGAGAGTGAAAAGCGCGTTGAGGATTTGGTTGTTCACTTCGAACCAAACATCCCTTTGGGATTTTTTTGGGATGGCCCGGTTCAACATCCCTGTCATCACCAGGAAGAGGATCGCCCCTGAGACGGCGACACATGCTGCCCAAACAAGAAGCGCCATGTTTAATGGATCCCTTATCCACTCCTTAGTGATTTTACTGAGAGATGCCCAATCAATTTTCCTAGAAAAGAGGCGATTTAAACGTTCGCGGAGACGAACGCTGCCAGAAGATGGGACGGAACGAGAAATCTCATCTTTCTCCTCAGCAATCTGCTGAAACTTGGCAGAAGGAGAAGACAAATTTCCGAAGTTAAGGAATTGAAGTCTCTTCGGGACAGAGAGAGAACCCCCTTGGAACCGCTTTTGAGGATCTTCATCAGTTACGAGTCCTCTTTGGGATGAAGAAATGTGCAT